ATATTAGGCAAAATGGGCATATAATTTGCGTTTCATGTCACTATCATGCTACACGAACAAGCGATTTTATCATACTCAGAGACTTGACAGAAAACAGCAGCTTCTTCTCCTAAATTTTTCGGAAATCGGTGGAGTTTTTTTTACAATCCAGACTATTATTTTATAAGAGTTCGTTGTTAATCGGATCTGACTTACGATCTTACTACGCGTAACGTACTGCTCCTTCCTGTTGTTATACAGTTGCTTACGCGGAGCTGTGACTACCAGCTTTTTACTTTTTTATTTTTACGATAGCACTAAGTTTGCAATGAACAGGTCCCTTGGGCCTTAAATATACGATTTATTATTATCATTATTATTATTATTATTATTATTATTTTAGACTCAGAAACTAACATTTGTCAACGAGAAATTCTATCAAGCTGATTGGCTAAACATGGTTCTGGTATTTGGCTGTTATGGTTTTTGTGCTGCAAGGCGTGTTCAGCTCCTAAGGAATATTTAGGGTAGAAATAATACCACTCAGTAGACGCTGAACTGCGTCTTTGACTGTTCGATCGCGTAGCGTCTGTACATACTACAATCTGTACTGTTCTGTCGCTTCTTTCGAAAGGTTATTTAGCTCACTAACAGATGCTGCTAGTACCATACTGCAGGGCTTTGATGGGAAACCTTGGCCGTATAAGCAGAAAATGTGAAGCCCTCTTTCATTTGAACTCAAGAAATATGTCTGCACCTTCTGATGCCCTTGTGGACCCAAAAAAGGGTTCATCAAGCGCCGAAGTTGACATTGTCAACTACAGTGTAGATGGTGTTTATCTTGTGGGTTACAATCAGTACAGCTTCGTTCTCAGTAATGGTGTCAAAATGTATGGCCCTGTTGCAGCTTTCCCAAGGAATGTGTTTTCATGGAATGTATGCGAATAGTATGTGACTGAATTAACTTTAGGTCACCTCTCCCATGGATATAAATGAAGAATCTCTGTCTCTTTTCTTTGCGTTGGAGCCTAAACTCGGTATTTGGCCTCATCATCTGTACAAACACCCTTTAGATATTCTTCTTATTGGTAAAGGGTCCGCCACTGAGAAGATCGACCATCAGGGAATTCTAAGGTGCTGTTGGAAACACAATGTTAACGTCGAAATTTACCCTACAGTAAGTAGTCCGCATACGCGAATGGTGTTTGAGTTGTTCCTTTATTTAAAAGTGTAGTTATAATATTTTACTATAGGTTTCCTTTTTTTGCAATCGCGTCTTATCACTTTAGAATGCAGCCATCGTACTTCTTCGAATCCTGCAATTCATTCAATCATTAATTTTCCTCACCCTCCTGACACCAAGTAAACCTTTCTCGTTCTCAACTCCGTTTGGC